GTTACCGGTCACGAAAAAAGACAAAAAGGAAAAAAAAAATGTTAGAGAATAGAGTAAGAAGGTCTAACATTTCGAGGAGGTTATAATAGAATGTGGGAGAGGCAGTATTAGAAGAGATGATGACTGATAAATTTCTATGAAAACACAGAAATCCTCTAATTCAGAATGCACAATGAATTCCAGAAGCATGCCAAGTCCCAAGCATGATAAATAAAAAGAATACACGTACTATTTTAATAGTGATAAATAATACAAAGTACCTACGGATAAATTTGCAGGATCTTTATAGAAAACATTATGTAACCTTATTGAAAGGCATTAAAGAAGACCTAAATAAGTGAAGCAATATATTAAGTTTATTAAAGGTTGAGAGATGTGGTGTTTATAAAAATCATATAAATTCTCCCCAAATTGATCTAGAGGGGTGATGTAGTTCTTGTTGTGTGTGTGTGTATGAAAATTGACTATAGATTCTAAAATTTACATGGATGTAAAGAGCCAAGATTCACATAAGAAATTTTAAAGAAGAACTGGTGCTGGACTTGCCCTACCAGATATGAAGATATGAAGTCTTTAAAGTCATAGTGATTAAGACAGGATTAAGAAGAGAGACTAATAAAACCTGGTGGAGAGCAAACCCACAAATATAAGGAAACTTGATCTGTAAAAGAACTCAGATCAAGGGGAAAGGAACCATTATTCAGTAATTGTTTCTGGGATAGTTGGGACAATTGGCTATGCATATTTTAAAAATAAGAAACTGGATCCTACCTCAAATATATCATGCCCCCAAATCAGTTTAAGGTTGCTTGCAGTGTTGAATGTTCAAGACATAACTACATTTTTTAAAGAAATGTGGGAGAAATAATAATAATAGCAGTCATTTATATGGCATTTACTATGTGTCAGGCACTTTTCTCAACATTTTATAACAAGACAAACCACTAACTGAGAGAACAAGTTGCTACACATTTAACTGTCCTGCCAAAAACTCAACAGAATATGTGAATTGACACTTCACGGAGGAAGAAATTATAAATGGCTAATAAACAAAAAGATGTTCTAACTCAATAATAGGGGAAATACATATTAAAACCACAGTAAAATCATTTTATCAGGTCATCAGAAATTAACAGGTTGTACCAAGTATTAGCTGTACATCTGTACATGATGTTTCTTACTCTATTCACTTTCCTGTGTTTGCTTGTCCATTTCTATGTGAAACCCACACTATTTTAATTAGTAGTTTGTCAAAACAAACTAAGCTTTCTAGTTTGTTTTGATAACTCATGAGGCAAGTCCACCTGCATTCTTTTCCCC